AATGTCAAGTCTGGATCCAATGTCGTCAAGTCCCAAGTCACAACTCTCTCTCTGTAGTAGTCCGCTGATACTGAGAAGTCAGGTGGTGAGAGGGGAAGAAGAGATGGTGGACTTAGAAGAGGAAGAAGAAGAACTCTCTCTCTCTCTGTAGTAGTCCGCTGATACTGAGAAGTCAGGTGGTGAGAGGGGAAGAAGAGATGGTGGACTTAGAAGAAGAGAAAGAAGATCTCTCTTTCTCTCTCTCTCAGTCCAGTACTAACCTGTGAAGTTGGCGCCTTGATGCAGGTACCTCGAAGATGGAGCTGGAGCTATGGCACCACAGGTAAGTCTGGCTGGCCTCCGCCAGCCATCTCTCCCAACTCTACTATCTACCACCTACTAGCGCCCAGCGCTGAAGACTACTGCTATGGCTACTAGCGCCCAGCGCTGAAGACTACTGCTAGCGCTAAGCTACTCCCTGCAGCGCTCCTCCTGAGTGCTGCGCTGAATCCTGAAGACTACTCGTGCCTACTGTCCAACTACCTACCCGTGAAGTGCATGGGAACTTCCTAYGTACTACMGGGTGCCTCCTGACTGCAGGCGAGGCAGTCCAGGAGGCTGCTCTTGCCAATGCCGAAGGGAGGCAGGGGCTGCAGCTGCAGCTCCTGCTCGAGCTGTCGTGGGGAACAGGCTATTTCTGCCCTGTTCCCAAAACCCTGCTTTTGTGCCTGAGTCTTAGGGTCGGTCGAAACGATGAGGGCCTGAAAATGGCCCTCCGTTTCAGGCTGATAAACATCTGGGCCTGAAAGGCCCAGAAATAGGCTGAAACGGAATAGGGCGTGCAGGCCCTCGTATTTCAGCTTTCAGGCTGAAACGACCGGGGCCTGTAAGCCCTATTTTCTAGGCTTTTAGGCTGAAAGTGCGGGACGGGCCCTGCAGGGCCCGTGTGGCTACGCAGTATGCCACACCCCCCCCTCCTTGAAAGACTGAGCTTACCTGCGAGGGCAAAGCTGTCTGTCTGAGGGAGGGACCACAGTCTGGGTGGGAGGGGCAGGTCGTGGAGGTCCCTTAGCTAACCGTTGTCCCTCGTAGTGAGCGTAGATCAGCGGTGCGGATGCTTTTAAATCTGCTCCTGAAATCGACCGAGTGTCGTCGGGATCGCATGCTCTGAATGTAACTTTTTACTGTCTCGGCTTGCTGCCGTACTTGCGATCCGAGATGACGCGGTCAACCTCCTGATGACCATCCATAGATGGAGGGTCCTGCGATCGTCGGCCCGGAAAGTCGTTGCTCTTAGCTGGCATGTCTGTTGCCAGCTTCGAGGCGTGAAAGACTGGATGGACCGTCAGATGCTCGGGAATGTTGATCACAAATGAAGGGCCATCGGGCTCATTGCCCGCGACAAATGTCACAGACCATGGTCCAAACCACTTGGGAAGCACTTTGCGTGAAACATCCTGTTCCAGTGCAAACTCTTCCGCGGAGACCCAAACCAGATCACCGGCGCGGATGGGACATGGCACGCGATGCCTGTTGGCTTGCTGCTGCATGCGGACTTGAGCCTTTTGCATGTTCGCGCGGGCTTGAGTCAGCAACTCCGTGTACTTTCAGACGGAAGCGGGAGAGCAAGCGGTGTCAATGTCGGCTGGTCGAGGGAGGAGAAGGTCGGCGAAGATACGGCCTTTCCATCCACCGTGGTGCAACTCGAATGGAGTCACGCCGATCGCCGGGTGCACCGAAGTGTTGTAGGCGAACTCGATGTCGGGAAGGCGGTCAACCCAATCTTTCTGGTCCGGACGGATGGGCGTACGAAGCATCATTTGAGCGGTTTGATGTGCCCGCTCTGTTTGCCCGTCCGTCTGTGGATGTCGAGCCAAACTTGGTTTCATCTTCGTGTCGGACTCCTGCATGAGAGCAGTCCAAAATGCCGACATGAAGCGAGTGTCGTGGTCGCTGACTATGTCTTCTGGTACACCGTGGCCACAAATCCAACCGGTGTGCAGGAGGCGTGCCAGCTCGGGAGCCGTGGAGTAGTACTTGCAAGGAAGAAAACACGCGTACTTACTCAATCGGTCCACAACCGTGAGGATGCCGTCGTGTCCGAGCCGGTCGCGAGGGAACGGACCGGTGACATCCATGGCAATGGAGAGACCGGGTTCCCGTGGGATGGGCATTGGGCGTAACTCGCCATAGGGATTGCAATTGCGGGGTTTGCTGCGTCGACAAACTTCGCAAGAGTCGCAATACCTAGTGACATCGGTAATGAGGTCAGGCCATCGGAATCGTTGTCGAAGCCGTGCAATGGTGCGGTTGACTCCGAAATGGCCGGTGAGTCGCGAGTCATGGTACTCCCCGAGAAGGCGAGTCCGAAGACGACGGTCTCGTGGGACACACAATAAGTCCTTGCCTCTCCAGTGGAGGAGCAAGTACCCGTCGGCAATGCGATAGTGGCTGGCCGGCGGGTGATCCGAAGATAGCTGTGCATATAGCGTGGCAAAGTCCGGATCAGACTCATATGCCCGGATGAAGTGTCGCTGAAGCTCCTCGTCGAATGCGAAGGCATGATGTGTCATAGCGCAAAAATCAGGTCTTCGCGAGAGTGCATCTGCTGCGCGATTTGAGAGGTCGGGCAAATATTTCGGTCCGATCGTGCTGCTCACCGTATCCTGCATCTTGTAGTAGGTCAATGGATTGTTGTCCGTAACCCATGTGAACCTACGACGCCCAAGGAGGAAGTGCCGCCAGCGCTTGAGAGCCATCACGAATGCGAGCAGCTCCTTCTTCCTTGCATCACAGGCGAGTTGATGGGAGGCACTTTGTGGCTGAAATACTCCAC